ATGGTATTAGGAGGCGATTTTCAGATTTCATTCAATGTCTTATTGCTCAAGTGAACGGGTTACTTGAAGATAGAAATCAGCGGATTATAGAGACCGTCAATGTAACTAGTTCACTTGGTGAATATCGGACTAATCACCTTTTGACCAATAGCTTAATGACTACGAAAAATGACGAGATGACCGTAAGCCCTATTGCCCCACAAGCTCATTCTAGCTCACAGAGCAATCAGAAGACAAATATAGTAAGAGGATTTAAATGTCTGTTATTCTTTATTCATCCTGATTCAGAAGTTCCTCAGTTCATTACATAATACTATTAAATACATATATACATATCTAAAAAGTAAAATAAAACATGTTACGATTTTACTAAAACTTTCCTATAAGTTACATGAATGTATTTTTCTAGAATAATCTCAATGCTAGTTCTTTTTTATATTCGTAAATGTGTATGTGTCTTTTTAATGAATTTTCGCGTATACAGAATTCATTTTGTTGCTCAGTAAATATCGTCATTTCACTGTATTTGTGTCCATAGCTATGGTATGTGCTTTGCACCTTCGAAGTGCAAAGTACTTCTACAAGACTGGCAGGATTCTAATCCTGTACTCACCATAGATGGTGAGCAGATAGAAGTAGTCGGGAAGTTCGTGTATCTAGGTAGCTACATAAGTGCTGGTGGTGGCATGAGTGATGAGATCGATTCACACATAATGAAAGCCAGAGAGGCTTATGCCAATCTGGACCACCTTTGGCGCCTTCGTGATGTCAGTCTGGCTGTAAACATTGATTATCTGACTTACGGTATCACAAATAAGAAATCAAAATATCCACATGACCAAGACATAAGTGATACGAAATTGAGTAATAGACCCATAATTAGTAAACAACATTTTAGGGACGGTATATATATAACGGTATTCCGTAAAATAGTCCCGAATGTTCCAGCTCTCCTAATTACTAACCATAATCTACCAAAATTAGTTCTTTACAACTTTTTTCGGTAAATTGTGCTCAACTATTCGTTTTTTCATTTTGTTCCTCAAGAAATAGTACTAAAGAAAGTGGGATATACATTAAATCTGTATGGAAATGATTAAACTTTCATTATCGATTATCTAAGAAGATACGAATGGCTTCCTCAGTTGAGTCGAATTTTTATAAACTCTTTAAAAAAACACTGAATCATATAATATGCATTTTAAGTAAGAACATAAATGCCAAGCACAAATGTGGAACTAAATAAATGAAGGGAATATAAAGTATTGGTATATTTCTAATTTTAGTTAAATTGCAACATGATATGATCTTCACTCCATCTTATTAGTAAATAACTATTTGAATTTTGACTTGGTTGATGAAAATTCGCTGCAAGCAATTGGTTTCATGAACTTTCATTGAATAATGGCTGAAAGCTGGGAGTATTTTGTTGGATGTTTCGTTTCAGATTAAGATTTCGTAAAATTTCTAAAAGTCGATAAGTAAAAATGGGAATACTAAAGTAACATGGGTTGGTGAGGCTACAATTTATGGACGACCTTTGAACGACGCTAAAGTGACTTTGAGAATGTTCGCCTACTGACTAGAGTTAAATGAGGGTTATAAAGCTGTGTGAAGGATAAGGATTATGACTTACAGTTGATGGTTAGGAATTAGATCAAGTTTTCATCACGAACTGACATCAGCTAAAATGCCAAAACGTTATTAAGTCAAATGGATGAATGAATTTCGCGTCAAAATCAAAAACCTGTTATCCTAAATCTAATTGGTTCGTCCATAAATTATAGTCTCACCACATGGGCTTATTGCTCAATTTATGATTTGATATAAGATTCAATAATATTAAATCCTTAAAAGTAAAATGTGTACAATCGACAAAGTAAACGACTATAACTAGTATAAGGGTTGTGGAGATTATTAAGTTTTTGATTGAGATCATGAACTGATTGATGTTAGACCACCTTTGGAAACCTGGAAGCACAGTAATTTAGAACTTAGACACTATTACAAATAATTAAAATGTGAGATAAAACAATTGTTTTTTTTGTATGTAGATAATTCATATGATTAAAACTGTCAATACAAAAATACAATATATATTGTACCTGTTTCAATCATCCACTGACAAGGACTACAAGAACCATAATGACAAGTTAATAAACATGTATGAAAACCAGTTGCACAATTAGATGAAAGCTGACGTTCACATATTTGACCACAAGGTTGAAGATTAGGATCACCACAAGTAGCAGGACGTTGAGATTTTCCACATGGGCAACTCAAAGTGATAGTTGCTAAACATGGAGGGCATGGACCTGGATGACAAAGTCTATAAGAACAAAAATAGACTATAATGAAATTTTATTGTTGACAATAATTCATTGATAAAAAATGTTTGGTTTATATCTGCAAGCAATTAAAAACAATTAGCCGATAAATTGATGAAAAACTCTCGATATACAAAATGGAGATCAATAATTAAATGCATTTTTCACATCATAGGAAGGAAAGTAATGTATAATTGAGAATATAGTTAAAATGTGACAGTCATTTAATCAAGGTAACATCTGAACTGTGATAATGTCTACTTTCTTGTACACTACACTAAATAAAAATTAGAGTCGATAGAGGTGAATATAATTTATTTACAAATTTGATTCCATGTGAACTAATTTTGCTTAATTGTGAATATTTATTTTGGTAAGTGAAATGGGAGAAAAATACACTGCTATTAAAATGCAACAGAAATATGAGGTTCTAACTATGACTGTTGGAAAATCATGTATATTGAGTAACTTATATCTGGTTCCAAGTTTCTGTCTATTATTACCATACTTCGACAGCTATACCACAGTGGTATCAGTAATGAATATTTTCTGCTTGATTTTTAACTGAACCTTTTACCAAATAAAGAATATCGAACTATCAACATTCTTTCGAAAAAAGTTCGGTGTCAGTAATAGTTTGTGTACGTCGGTAAGAGCTCGTGTGTTGGTGTTTATGAAATGTTCAAGATCAGTGACTGAAAATTTTATTTTAATGTTGCTCAACGTCGATCAAAATGTTGCGTGTGAAATACATAGGCGTATAATTTATTATTCTTGGCCGTATAACAAACCATAAATCCATTATCCCCCCACACACACACACGCACACACAAGCGATAGACCACACAAACCCCAACGTTCCCAAACTTCATTCAAAACACATAAAAACAAGATGTGGTCTAAACTACTTTTTGCTCCTAAATTAAGTAGGCATACAATTTAAATCCATGACCACAAATAATATAACAAAGTGTACATAACCGGAAAATTTTGAATATAAAGCCAAGCGACAGATTTAAGATTAATTGTCTATAATTTATGAACAGTAAAATGTGACAAAAATTATTACGTCAGACGATAGCTTACAGTGTATATATATATATATATATATATATATATTATATAATATATATCTACTATAAAACGATAACTGTTTGGTAAAAGCTCGTCAAAAAAATACACACTAACTCACCAGTTAATAACTACTCAAGTTTCTTATTCTTCCTTTGTCACCTCTCAAGACTAATGTTTTACGACTGTTTCTTTTCTATCTTAATCCACTTTATCTTACTACAACACATTTGTTTTGGGATTTTTCGCCTATAACTTCAAAAATCTAACTGTTCATATTTTTAGCCAAATCGAAGTTAAAAAGAAACGCTTACAAAGCGATGATGTTTAATTAACCAAAATTACTTGATCTTGAATGTTACAAAACATAAGTTTGAATATCTTTAAACTCACTCTGTGCAAAGATGGGTGCACTGATAATCAGACAAATTGGATGCAAAAGTTATACGTTTCACTTTACTGCAAACCTGGTCACAACCATGTGGTATTGTAAAACGAGCAGGGTGAAATTCAGGATTTTCAGTGCGTCCACAAAAGCATCGGTAAGAAATTAGTTGGGGAGACATATCATAATTTGTTTGACAAGATGGACAGCGCCAAACGGAAGATGAACCAGACTCGATGTTAGGTTCCTGGAATGATTTTTTGGCCCAAGACCTGATACATGATAGGTGGTAAATGTGATAACACGTAGCACATGACCAAATTCGGTCAGTAACACGAATTTCTGAAATGCATATCATACACTGATATGTGCTATTGCGCAATTCATCGATAAGGTTACCTGACCAATAGATATAAATATCGCCATAAAATGTAAACACTCAAAAGTAGAAGGAAACAACGTAAGTGATAACTACGTAAAACATATGTCTAGTTAACTTCCAATGACTGAAAACAAGATCAATCAACAAAATAAACACGAGAAATTTGCAGGAAACACTTCGTTCATATCAATTGTTTAAGTGAACACATCACAAAATGTTGAAATCCTACCAAAATAAGAGGTATGCTTTGGCCAGTTATGAATATACATGAGGTACTCTTTTCAAACTGTACGCTTATGAGTAAAAGGCAGTATCGTTTATTATCATTCAACGTACGCACACTGGAGCTTACTAAATTGATGTATGCAATGTCAGTGAGTCGATCTATTATTAACAATCACAATTAGGGATGGACGTATACGTATAATAAGTGGTCATTATTTATATATACGCGACTGCTAATAGTTGTTAAATTATGAAGGATGGAATAGCGTATAAATCAATAGTGCTTAAATAAAGGTATTCATAGGGTGGTTTAAAAAGTTGACTTTTAAGTCTAACCTTGAATTAGGAATGTCTTGATTTCTATATAAAAACAGATAGAAATTACTATCCTGGAACAGGAATAATTAGAAAGACTAACTACTATAATAATTCCTAGTCCTAAAATTTAGTCTGATGCTGTTCTTGAAACACTTTATTCAATAACGTTTTATTTTTTGTTAACGTAAAAAGACCGAGGGAGGAAAGTTACATTTGTGAATGTATGAAATTTATAAGTATTTGATTAAATCATATTAAGGCACTTTGAAGAGTATGTGACCACATAGCTTTCCTTGTACTAGAAAGAATTTTAGTCAGTTATACACAGCATTAAACCTGGTGAAAGTGTTTATCGGTTCAAGTTACCGCAACTAATATGAGAATATTTCTACAGAAATCAAAAAGACAAAACGCAAAGAAATCGGAATGACGCTGGTATAAAACTAAACACTGAAAATATCGCGCAAAAAAAGAGAATAAAATAGAGGGATGAGTAGAATATAACACCAGTGTTCAACACCTAAATGAAGATAGAGTGAATAAATATGCTACACTAAAACGCCCTTTGAGCTATATAATATAGTGATAAACTATAAAGCAGTGTTCGTTTTCCAACCCGTTTTACTCAAGTCGACGATTTCATATACTGATACTACATTTTGGTTTTAAATCCATATGTAATTTAAAACCGAAACAGATAAATAACCCGCAACATTTCTCCGTCCTGTAAATGAACAATTATAAAAAGGAATAAAAAAGGCAATCCCTAAATATATCTTTTGACTGTTTCTGATTTAATTATTCCTTTGTTTATTATTTGTTTCGTGGCTTATTTCTTCGGAATCAGTTTTATCACTTTTTATGATATATCTCTTGATGCCAATAATGTATCATATTTATATTTATAAAGAAGCTGCAAAACACTGACTCACTTCTCAAATTATCATGATTATTAGGTTTACAATCTACTTTTAAGTTAGCTGTTGGTTGTTGCCGAACAGACAAGGAAGTATCACTTTCTGAAGAACCAGCTTGAACTAAGTTGGTGGACTCAACCGAATAGTTTGGATTGGTTGAAGACTTAGAGGTTGGTAGCGTCCGAATAATTTGATGGCCCAAATACATGTCCGGGATACGGAAAACCTCTTCTGTGGCCAGAGTTTCTTGAAGGATGGCGTAAAAAGTCACTGACAGTCATCCAGGGATTATTTCTCCTATACGGGTAGCAAAGGCTGTCACATGGTCTATAATGGTTATGATGTCCAGATCCACTGTTAAAATTATCTGTTATTGAACTTGGACACCAGTAGGTATGTGCTGATGTTACTGGACGAGAAGAGGCACGATGAGTGGTTCCATTTGCTTGACGTATATTTCTATTGCCTCTACATAGACGTGGGTTATTTCTGGCATCGGGATACATTCTGACAACCGATGTTGAGAGATCCAAGCAAAAGTTTGTCACTTAATGAGGATTAATGAAACTTTATGAGAAGCATTTCAAAACAGAAAATGTATGTTTTAAACACGCGAAATCTGTACTCAACTTTACCTATTTCAAATTTGATAGACATGTGACTCGCATAAGCAACTACTTAAAGTTTTAGCGACGCTATGGGTGCATGGTAATATCAGAAATATAACATTAATTTTCAAACGTTACTCTGCAACTCCTGCTCAGTACGAGCACAACAGAATAGTAGTGAACAAGGTAAAGAGTACAAAATGTAACAAAATGCACGTGTAGTCTTTGTCATAACACAGAACTGCGAACGCATAAGACATATAGTTCCTAAATTTAAATATCATTCCGACTTCCAGAAGAATTCGCGAATCCCGTGTCTTTTGCACTCAACAGAGAATTAATCGTTCACATGAGCCAGCTTACAAATATCATGAGTTCAGTCGACTGTGCTTCAACCATCAGATTTCCTTATCCAACTTACTTTGTAGTACAGCATACATGTCACTTTAGGTTGAGCTCGTAACCGTGCTCATTAAGAAACCTACAAGGCTCAAAACTGAGTCGAAGTACTAAACTATCAAAACAAATGACAAAAATGTCAAGATTTGTTAACTGAGTAATGTATTTGGGAGATTCTCCCAAATACACGTGTAACGGCAAAACCAACTGAGTTATATAATTCAGTTGGTTTTGCCGTTACACGAAATACTGATGATGTGACAGTATGTCCGGATTTTATCGAATGGATTTTGAATTGTATGTGGTGTATTCAAATATTACTGATACATATAACGTATGAATTGAAGTCAACCGATGTATGCAATAAAAACAGCTGACCAGTAACGCACGCTTTAAAACTGATCACATATCCAATATCCAATATCTTAATCACGAGCTTATACAAACCGACTAATTTCTTCGTCTTCACTTCTTATTTCTTCGGCACAGCTCCAGGTATCATTTGGATGCACTAATTCTAGTCAATTCGATTGTATTTTTCGATATGTGTATCATGTCATTTGAGTAAATGCATATGTCTCAGGGCAGTAGTTTTTCTGGATACCAGCAGTTATCACATTACCAGAGAGAAGGTTGGCCGGTTGCATCAGGAAACTTATTAAAGTGATAAGTCGAGTGCTAACGAAGGGTATTGCTTCCAGAATAGCAAACTATTTAATTAGTTAGTGACGTGTAAGAACAAGTAATTGAAAGAACGAGAGAGAAAACGGAGACGATAATAAGCGAAATAGAACTTAGTTACTGATATATAAGAGTAATAACAATAGTTATGTTGCGAGACATGGATCAGACATAGATGGTTCAAACGGAAGATGATAATCCGTGCGTGCGTACATGCTTGTCAAGTCTCCGCTTGAAGCTATCCACTGAGGGGACTACGGCCAGCTTAACTGGAAGAGCAGTCCAAACGAGATCGACTCCTAGTGAGAAGTGGTAGAATAGCTGATTCGTTGTCCTGTGTTGTTCAGTTTTTTGGGAGTTGCCCTGAAGATCGTGATGTTCTGGTAAGACGTTTGTGCTGAAGCCACCTGGCGTGGTTATCATATCACTTCGGATTCTCCGAGGGCTCAATAGTAGTAATCCTGCATATTGGAGTCTGACTTCATAATATTTATTCTTTAGCCCCGTCACCCACCTGGTGACTCGTCTCTGTCCTTTGTCCAATAGATTGATGTCTTTCGAAAAAGAGAGATTCTACTGCATTGTGCACTTTAAGCTCAGGATGTTAAAACTTATCAAACAGTCTTAGAAACAACCCTGAGCTGACTGAGCCAATTTTTTAGCCAAACGTAGCTGATTACTTTTTGGTTGCTTCCCCGATATAGTTTGAGCTGATGTCCAAGCTCACTTTGGTTACCAGTCCTAGATCGCCTTCCCAGGGAACATTTAGGTACTCATTTTCACAGCGGACAGAAGCTACTTACATTCCCGAGGGTTGGACGTTCACGACATGACACTTCCACGGGTGAAGTTTCAACCCATAGTCTGCTGATCATTCTCCCGATGTTATAGGATTCTACTGAAGCTCAAGTGAATCTTTTCCGCCGTTTATGAATATTCATATTTTCGCGTCAACATCGTAGTTTAGTGCCACTGGGCTTATTTTATCGAAAAGATCAATAATAAAAATCAGGAACAGGAGTCAAATTGAGATGGTCTACTGTAACACTCCTTATGTCGAAACCCTTCAACACGTATGCATTCTATTCACTTAAGTAAGAAGTATCTTGTTTGCCAGTTCGTTTCATAGTGAAGATAGAGGAAAGCCAGTCAAACTTATCTTACTTACTTACTCCTGTTACTCCTAATGGAGCATGGGCCACTGATCAGTATTGTCCAGCCCACTCTGTCCTGGGCCTTCTTTCCTAGTTCCATCCAATTCTTGTTCATTTTTCTCATGTCTATCTCCACTTCCCGGCGTAATGTGTTCTTTGTTCTTCCTCTTCCCCCTTGACCTTGAGGATTACAAGTGAGTGCTTGCCTTGTGCAGTAGTCTGCTCCTATCCACTTCCAGCTCTTCTTCTTGATTTCTTCCTCCACTGGAATTTGGTTTGTTCTCTCCCATAGTAGGTTGCTGCTATTAGTGTCCGGCCAACGGATCCGAAGTATTTTATGAAGATAACTATTAATAAACACTTATATCTTCTGGATGATGGCTTCCGTAGTTCTCCAGGTATCCGCCCCACATGGTAGAACTGTCTTGACATTTGTATTGAAAGTCCTAACCTTGGTGTTGGTTGATAGTTGTTTGGGGTTCCAGATGTTCTTAAATTGCAAATATCCTGCTCTTTCTTTACCGATCCGCGCTTTCAAATCTGCGTCAGACCCACCCTGTTCATCAATGATGCTGCCCAAATATGTAAAGGTTTTTACATCTTCCAAATCTTCTCTATCAATTGTGACTGGATTGGTGCATGCTGTGTTGTATCGGAGAATCTTGCTTTCCCTTTGTGTATATTGAGACTTACTGCTGCTACACTGGTCGTCTACTCCTGCATTTGTTGTTGCGTTCGCCACTGATGTATAGCAGTGTTTGTAAATGTTACTTGTGACTGAGTGTGGAAAAATATGCACACAATTTACTGAATATTAAGCACCCAATTTCTTCCCTGGCTCGATTTCTACTGCAGACCCAGTGAGAGGGACTCCCTGTGATTGCAAAGAATCAATCACTGTCTTTCGTCACCCTGGTTTACTGTTTTGGTCATGAATCAGGTATCAGATATAAGCTGACTTACTCTCTACATAGTGTACCGCTCGACTATTCAACCTAAACTCGGTCACCTGGCCTCGTCCTATTATCGTATTGTCGCACCAGCGTAGGGCAAAAGTGGCAGGTGTTTTAATCCATTCGTTTTATTGCTCATGCTACGAGATTAAACGTGCAGGACCTTCCTTACCTAAACCCGTGTTAGACCCCGTGGATGACGTTATTCTTTTTCATGTGGTCCTTCATTTAGTCATTGACAAGTCCTGTTATCTTTGATAGTATTATGAGTAACATGGCTGACCTGTAGCAGGCTGGATCTTTCCTACTTACTCCTTTAAAAATCGACAAGAGTGAAATATTTCCTTTCCTTTTGGAATTGCTGTGTAATGTCGGTTATTATGTTAAGCCCATATACTTTATTTTGGCTTTCGCGCAGTCCAGTCTACTCATTCAACTTGAGTCATGTTTTCGCCATGTTAATTATCCGCTTATCAATCTTTACTGTTTTTATATGATCGCATAGGTGTGTGCCCTTCTTATCCTGTTCATCACATATCTGTAACTTATTTTCGTGTGATTAAATACTGATTAATGTTTGACCAAATGGAGTTGGCTTTCTCGCCATCTCCACTGCGCGTCGTTTCGCTTCGCTCTGTTCCATTCGCTTCATATACAAAATAATTGTATTCAAAAATCCATTCTCGTTATTTGGTTTATTTAATTCCGTTATTGACCAACGCGATTTAAGCCGATGGTTATATACGAGGATAGGCTACATACATATTTCAATAACAATCATTCATACGATCTAATTGGAGTTAGATCTCGGGTCACTAAAGTGGGGAGCCCGTCAGGAAACATAGTCCGATCTAAATGGCGAAAAAATATGGGGCCCCACATCTGTCGCTCCGCTGATTTCCTGAACAGACCATGTACCGATATACTGACTACTCTCTTGCAGTGGTGTGGCGTTGCAGTTCTGAAGTAGCAGGTACTGTATATCGACACTCCACTTCTCGATTTGTGTATCGCGTCTCACCGAGAATGTTTTATGGCTTGCATGCTCGCTTCGTCGTCCGTGATGTCTGGTGAGAGCCATATTTCAGTCAGAACTATAGTCTTCAAGCTCCACTGGATGCATATGTTTCTAGAGCCTATTAGTTTACTCCCTAGCCAATTTACGTTGGTGGGGAGACACTTGATGGTTTACTTAACCACATAATGCTCCTCTACAGTAGTATCTGTTTTGTTGTCTAGACCTACTGAACCCAGCAGTCATTCAGAGTTGTGAAATGACAAACATATCAAGGAAATGAGGGGATACCTGTACGAATGACCATTTCAATTCACTAAAAATTACACTGAAGACTTTGACACCCTAAAACTTGACAGAGACGTCGAGCAAGTGTCTTGCTTATTAACATCATTATA